AAAAAAAAAAAAAGGAATTTTACCTAAGGAGAGACAGGGAGACATCAGGGATGGCACTGAGGTTTTCGGCGTTAAGCACTGGATTGGATGTCGAAGCCATTACTTGAGATAGCCAAAGTGGGGAGGTGGTTTGGAGGTGAACATAGTGTATTCAATATGGACATGGTGAGTTTGAGGTACTTTGGGACATTAATTCAACGGGAATGACCAACAAGTAATTACTGATCACATTACTCTGAGTGTGAAATCCTGTCAGTGGCTCACCACTGTCAAGGGTACAAATTCCAAATTTCTTAGCAAGACTTATAATCTATCCTTTTCAGTTTCATCTCTGCCACCTATCCCCAGGCACAGTTGCCCAGCCCAAACTCAATTTTAGCTTTTTTTTTTTAAAGTACTCTCTACAACCACCGTGAAACTGGAACTTAAAACTGGAGATCAAGAATCAAGAGTCACATGCTCTATGACTGAACCAGCCTGGAGTCCCCAATTTTAGCTTCTTAAAAGAGTAATGCTCTCTGTAGTCTCAAGGACCCTGTGCCACCTGTTCTTTCAGGAACTATTTTCTTTTTCTTTTCTTGCATTCAACAAAGAGTGAGGGCCAGGTAGCTGGGAAGTGCTGGGATAAAATAGTGGGCAAAAGATTAACTCATCCGTCCGTGCATTCTTGGAGGAGGGTAATGTCGGAACTAGACAATAATCCAATAATTACACAAGTAATTAAAAATTAAATTAAATTAAAAATTGAATTGCAGATTATATCAGAGGTGCTAATGGAAGGTACCTAATAAGGTTAAGAACCTATAATTGGGTTTTGAAGTAGTTAAGCCTGAGAAAGTGAAGACAGAATTGATTCAAAGGAGGAGGAAAGTTTTCTAGGCTGAGAGAACACCCCTATGGAGGGGTAAAACTTGACACATTGCGGGGAACTAGAGAAATACGCACCTTCCCTAAAATACTTAGGCCGGGGTTGGGGGTTATTGGGGAGAGTGGAGAGGAAGGGG